GTGCTGAAGGTTAGTTCAGACAAAACATAGATGAGGCCCATAACCTCTTCAGGACAACAGGAAGTTAGAGTATGTGAACCCTGCATACACACACACACACATGCTAACATACGGTTTTAATTCTGACCAAGCTTGTTTTCAGTTGGTACAGTTGAAGTGCTCCGGTCAAGTCTATTATAAAAACATGATGTATGATCTTTTACATTAATGTCCTTAGCGTGATTTCTGTGGGTTTGTTATGCGGAAGCCCTCCTGTCTGATCCCTGTAAGACTTTCCAGATGTATCCTCAAACACTTTTCTCTCCTACAATTATAGCTCGACATGAAACACACAATAACTTCCTTTATATTTTACTATAGACAGGCCTTTATTTTGCTCTGCTTCCTGAAACTTGACAGTGGTTTTTATGACATTTTATTGTCTATCGGATCACATTAAATTCAATGGTATAAATCCCCTGATGCAGTGTCCCTGTCATATAGGACTGTGGATATACTGTGAACAAAGCATTTTTACAACAATCTCGCTCATCACAGACAAATGTGTTGATGAAAAGTGTTATGTGTGCCTTCTTGACTTAGACATTTGCTTGCTTTTATCTCCTCTGTTTTTCTTCTCATGCACTGTTTACTTGTTGAACAGCCAATCAGAGTGACCTCTTCCACCTACAGGCTCAGCCACTAATTCAACATGTTCAAATGTCAGAAAAGCCGCCAGTGTGTCCAGCTAGTGGGAATGGTGGAGAACAAACCGCAAAATTGGGCCGACAAATGGTCAGCGATGGCCTGACATTGGCTGACAGCTGACTGTCAGCTTGGTGCTGGCCTCTTCTTTAAGGGTTGCACTATTACTTTGTGCAGTGTGCTATCCATCTCACATTCCCTAAAGCAGTGGTTCTCAAACCAGTCCTGGAGTACCCCCAGCCCTGCACATTTTATATGTCTCCCTCATCTATCACACATGATTCACCTCATCAGCTCATTAGTGGAGACTGCAAGACCTGAAGTGGGTGTGTCAGATATAGGGAGACATACAAAATGTGCAGTGCTGGGGGTACTTCATGGAGAGGGTTGAGAACCACTGCCCTAAATAAATCTTACCCAACCTGAAAAAAAAGGAGTTTGATTGGAACTTTTAATTTCTATTTGGAATGTTATCAGTATTCAAAGACTGTCTGGTGGGTGAAGTAACCTGATCATCTGTGTTGCTTGTTTATGCAGGCAGATGTGGCAAATGCTATTGATCCCTGTCCCTTTAAGCAAATGCTGCAAAGATTATCACTGTGAAGCTGCTTTGAAACAATCTGTATTCTACAGAGCACTATATAAATAAAGGACACTTGATTTGTTTCTTGGCCTCTGCTTAAATTGTTGTTGACAAAACAGCAAAATAATCAAATATGTGTGATTGAGACTATAACTTTTTGTGGGGTTGGTTCTGATTCAGGATGTCTGATGTGTCTCTCTCTCAGACTCCTGAACACAATCAGACCGGGTCTCGTGAAGAAGATAAATAGACTGCCCACTCCTGTAGCTGCTCTGGTAAGTGTTTCTACTATTCTATTAATTCAGCCCGGTGCCCACCTCTCTTGTCTAAGCATCTTTGATTTAAAAAAAAAAAAATGATTCTGGAAAGGTAGTCTTATCAAGCTAACTTTTCACACTGGTAAATTAACAAGGCAAAGAAACAGTATGATCAAAAATGAAGGGAAAAAAAATCTATATATACTGTAATACTTCTTTGCTGAAAGAAGTATTATGGTTCCCACAAACTATTAAGCAGCACAGCTGTTTTCAACATCGATAACAATAAGAAATGAGTACCAAATCAGCATATTAAAATGGTTTCTGAAGGATCACGTGACACTAAAGACTGGATAATGGAGGGGACTAAAAATTCTGTTTTGCCATCATAGGAATAAATTAAATTTTATAATATATTAAACAGTTAGTTTAGCTAGTAATAATATTTCACAATACTGCTACTTTTACTGTATTTTAGATCAAATAAATGCAGACTTCAAAACTTCAAAAAAACTTAAAAAACGTAAAAAGTCTTACTGACCCCAAACGTTTGATGGTACATACATAAATGCATTGTGTAAATATCTGAGAAGTGCCACATACTGTTGTTTTTGAGCTCTATTATTTGATGAGTTGGGCTGCTGTGTATAAGAATAGCTGATTGGGAAACTGTTACGCTGTGGTGTTTCATTTTTCCCATCTGAAGTATTGTAAGTAATCTTTTTTTTTAATACTTTATTTTGTCTTTCCATTCAATTCACTAAATACATTAAACAAATACAGAATTATTTTATAAAGACAATATTTTCCCCCAGAAAGTTTTCAGTTTCTTCTTTTCCTTTTTTTGTGATAATAAAATGCTGCACCCCACACACACACACTTTTTTTTTTTTTTTGCAGTGGGTTTGCAGTTTCGCTTTATACAGTCAGTGTCTACAGCATGGTTGTCCTGGATGCCACTTTGAAACAAATATTTGGCTCCACTTTGAGTAAAATGTAAATGTTTTTGAAGATGTGAACATTTTGAAAAGTTTATAACATTCACTGCATCCTTGGGAAAATCACTTAATGTTTATATGGAAAACATGTCTCTCTGAATAGTCAAATAATCAACCATCTGTGTCTGTGTGGCATGCTGTGGAGAAAGTTCACATTAACTTTCCACAGTGATTAAAACATCTGGTAGGAATCTGATGAATCTTCTTGAATTGCTTTGTGGTAAAGTTTGGTAGTTTGATGTTGGCAAAACTTTAAGGTCACTTTAAAGAGTCTTTGTGGTTTAATAGTTTAGCTACGAAATGGATATTAGTCTAAATGTCAAATTCCGTATTGAGTTAAAATAATGACTAATGAATGCAGCTCTTGTTTTCTTTAAGGGTGTTCTTTCAGTTTTGCCCTCCACCTCATTTTGTCCTCTCACATCAATGACGAGTCCCAGAATCCTGTGCCCTCCTCTGCTCAGCCTCTGAGTAAATAAAAACAAGTATGTGCAAGACAGGGGGCGACTCGCTATTCATTTCATGACTTCTTTGATGAAGGCAGGCGTAATAAAAAGCTTTGTAAGAGTTTGGAGGACAGCAGCCAGAAGTAGAAAACAGAGTGAAAATAACAGGTGTTAATCACCCAGTGCTTAGAATTTGTGTTTTGAAGGAAGTTTAGTTTGGCTGGGCCGTTTCCTTTCTCCTCCATCATTCACCCATTCCCTCGCTAGATTGGGTGTCTTATCTTCTCCGTTCACTAATCAGTGCTGCCACCCTTGTAACAGACATGGGTAATTACATGCCAGCATTCCTTAAGTCTCGCTCTCTGCCTGTTTTCCCCCATGTCTTAATGTGATCCCAGAGCTACAATTACGCTGGAATATCTTATTGCACTTTAAAGCCCTGAATGCTTCCTCTCGCCTATTATATCAGACAAGATCTCTCATGTTCGTATTACAATAGCTGTTACAATCAACCTAGACAGGCATCATATGCATGCTTGTTGTGAAGGCTGTTCCAAATGGTGGGCAGCAATGTTGCAATATATTAAATATTATGATATTATATTTTATATAAGTTCTGGTCATCAAATCTGATTGCTTGATCATTTCCCGTTCCAAGAGTGCAGATATTACAGTCCAACAGCACTGGGGACTCTGCTTGTCTGTGTTTGTTTCAGACAGACTGTCAGTCTGTGCATTAGTGTTTGGGACTTTTTAGTTTAAACTTTCTGGATATTACACTGATACCCAAGTAGTTAGTTAATTCTGCTGTTCTGCTGAACTTTTTCTGAATTTCAGCTTTTTTAACTTGTTTTATATTGCTTAAATATTACATTTAATTCTAGTTAAGAAATGCAACAATATAGAATCTCTTGACCAATAACAATAACCGATAATCAGTAGTTTGTACTAGTGGCCATAACTGATATGGAATATGAAAAATGGCAGCAGATGATTCAGATTCAAACAAGCCCAAATATATATTTTTTTGTATTACTACACAAATGTTACAGAAGACCGAACCAAAAAGAAAAGGAAAAAAGGCAAGAATGAGGAAAGATTTTTAAATTGCCTCCTCCAATGTGACGCCACAACCATGCCTGGGACTACGAGGAGGAATACTTTTTGTTTATCAGGGTGGCCTTTGCTTGGAGGATTACGTGGAGGAATTCACTGACATCTGCCACGAGCAACGTGTGATGCTCGTGAACCTCATGCTCATGAAAGGTTTTAGGTGTGGGCTGCTCTTTACCTGCTTCATGCCATCCTCCAGAGCCCCCTCCCTCCTTCTGCAGTTGGACTTTTTATGGAGCTGGGACTTGCCTTTCAGGAGTTGGGGAGTACTGTCACAGTTCTGTATAGGTCTGTTCCTTTTTTTTTCTTGTTTTTCCTATGCCTATTTGCCTATGTTCCCTTTTCTTATTATTTGCTATGGTTTCTGATTAGTGCACACCTGTTTCAGTTCCTATTAATTATCTAGTCTGTGTATTTAAGCCCTGAGTTTCTTCTGTTCACTGTTCGGTCTCGTTTAGGGTATGTGTGTAGTGTGTTGCACGGTTTCTCGTGTTTATTAAAACTCCTTGTGAACTTTCTTCATTGTGTGCTATTTTTGTATTACTACACAAATGTTACACATGACATTTTAACTGTGTTACAAACACTGGATCTTGTGAGACTGGTTACTGGTAAAAAAAACAAACAAAACAAAACGAAAAAAAAAAACTGAAAGCAAATATAACATTGACAACAATTATGATAAATTAATTTATCAGTAAATAATGTATTAGACACTAAAATGTATCAAAAAATAGATTATTTAAAAATCAAATATTCATGCATTCATGATATCGCTGTGGTTGCCTTTAATCCAATTTTAAGATTTTAGCTTTGAGGAAAATTACGCAATACAGCCCAAGGGACTTTGACATTTTTCAAGTATTTCAAAACAAAATACCACAACCTGAACTATTGCAATCATTGCACTTTCAGACAAGCTCAGGTCTGTCGTCTTCTAAAATAATAAAGGTCTTCTTGGCACTTGCAACCAGCTCAAAACTATTGTCAAGAGCAAATTGCACAAACATGCTGTTATCTCCTGCATCATAATAAAACAGGTTAACTCCCCCTTCCTTTTCCTGTTTTTTTTGGTTAGTAGGAATTTTGGCCCTCCAGACTTACTATTTTGTAGCCTACACAGTTAGGGGGCTCTCAAGTTTGTTTTAGCTTGTTGTTAATTTTGCATAAAATGCTGTAATATAGTAATGTTTTAGTTCTTAGCTGTGTGCTCATACAGAGAAGCAGGCCAACCTAAAGTGCAGACCTGGAATGTTTTAGAGAGTTTGTCAGGGTTTAATAGATAAATGTGCTCAACGCTTATCAAAATAGTCAGAGTTATAAATCATAATTAAAATGAATTGAGTAAATAATCTCAGTACATACTGTAGTTCAAGAGATTTTCAAAGATTGAGTTTGAAGTTCAAACCCAATACATTTATAAATCTTGCATACATTATGTTTATAGGTACATTATTTGCATAGGTTCTGTTGAAAACAGAAATTAGATGAAAAATGTGCAATTAGAACATAGAAAAATGAATTTCCTAAAGAAGCTTAAAATACACTACTGTGGCACTGGGTTCCAAAATCATTTTATAAGAGTGCCCTGTTCTGTAGCCCCTATCCACTGCCTACTTCAGCAGTCTGCTTCTTATTTTCCCTGTTTCTCCACCACCAATATTATGTCTGCTCACCATTTCCTTTTTATGCAGGTGTCAGCGCATTGTTTATGAGCCGGCTGTTTTTCTTGGTGGGGAGGCTGTATGAATGGAGGTGAAGGAAAATAGGGAGGAATTCTGTGCTGGAAACATGACTGCTACATTACACCATCAGAAGTATCTACAGCTCTTTTATTTATTATTAAATTAATCTCTTGGCACTTGGCACTCTTACATGTGTCCAGTCAGTTCATCATGTTTTTGACCCTCTGAAGAAACTGTAATGTTCAAAACTACCCTTTAAAAACAACATCAGCCTAATATCTCCATTCCCAATGTAAAACTGAATGGATCAATGGAAACATTTCTTGTAGTGTAATTTGCACCTCACCATCTGGCATTGCTGTCTTCATCTAATGGATAAATCTGGGTTTGGCACATGCCAGCAGAATGCAACTGTAATGCTGCAGGAGGAGTAATTGTTTAGCATTGTTTTTCATTACTTTGTCAGGTTTCTTACTTCCAAGGAGGACTAGTTGAACATTGTACATTATTTGTTATTTAAAATTGTAATTTATTCTATGTTTGACTGTCTAATGTAATATATCAATGATGTTAGTAACATTTGAACAAGTCTCATAGTCTCCCATACACAGGGCAATGCAGTACAGAGCCCATATGGCTGAAAAATATACCAGTATAGATATAGTTAAGCTAATGCCCAAGGACATAGGACTTCATTTGAAATTAAGTAATTTTATCACCTGTACATTGATGTAATTTGCATCTTAACTATCAATGTATCATTGGAGAAATTAATTAGGAAGTCATGGTCATTCAAACTGCTAATTAATCGGTTCGTGAACTAAAATATATGTTTATTATTTATATATTTATCCCACAAATTAAAAATTGGTTCCCCTGTTTTATTAATTTGTTCCCTTGTTTGAATGAAATCATGGGAATGAATTAATGTATTACGATGACGTGGCCACACTGTATGAATTAGTTTTATTTAAAGTAAAACATATATACACATATACATATATATATATACACATATACATATATATATATATATACACATATACATATATATATATATACACATATACATATATATATATATACACATATACATATATATATATATACACATATACATATATATATATATACACATATACATATATATATATATACACATATACATATATATATATATACACATATACATATATATATATATACACATATACATATATATATATATACACATATACATATATATATATATACACATATACATATATATATATATACACATATACATATATATATATA